ACACATCACACACACACCACACCCCTCACACACACACTGCACCCCTCACATACACACAGAACCCCCCCCCCAACACACTGCACCACACACATACACACACAGAACCAGGGGTTGGCCTAGGTGTTCAGGGCAAACAATCTTGTGGCGCCCCCCCCCCCCCTCACCTGTCTCTGTTTGGACCCCTTCAAATTATTTTAGGAGCATTCACAATCTGTTGCCTCCACCCCCTTCTACAAAACCACTGCACCTCTTAACCAAAATCCCTGGCCAGATCTTCACCAAGCCCCTGGCCACCACTTCATCAAACTCCTGGCCACCCCTTCCCCTTCATCAATGCCCTGGCCATCCCTTTGTCAAACTCCTAGCCACCCCTTACCCTTCATGAATCCCCTCCCACCCCTTTATCAATTCCTGCCACCCCTTCATCAGTCCCCTGCCCCTCTCATCAATTCCCTCCCACCCTTTACTCAGCCCTCTGCCCCTATTCATCAGCCGCCTGACCCCCTAATCAATCCCCTCCCACCCCTTTAACAGCCCTCTGCCCCATTCATCAGTCCCCTGACCCCCTCAGCAATCCCCTCCCCCTTTTATCAGCCCCCTGACCCCCTCATCAGTACCCTCCCACCCCTATCACCCACCTGCCCCCCTTTAATCAGTCCCATGCCCCCCTTTTCAACCCCCTGCTCCCCTTCATCAGCCCCCTTAATATATCCCATGCCAAATAATCCAACCCCTGGCCACCCCTTCATCAGTCCCCTGCCCCCTCATCAATTCCCTCCCACCTATTTATCAGCCATCTGCCCCCATTTCATCAGCCCCCTGATCTACTCATCAATCCCCTCCCACTCCTTTATCAACCACCTGCCCCCTTTAATCAGCCCCATGCCCCCCTTTTCAGTTTCCTGCCACCCTTTATCAGCCCCTTAATAAATCCCCTGCCAATTAATGCAATCCATGCCACCCCTTCATCAATCCCCTGCCCCCCTTAATTAAATTCCTGCACCTCTTCAACAAAACCTATTTAATAAAAAAGAATAAAAAAGTCACTCACAGTAAAGGCTTCTGCTCCCTGGACTGAGCTGTCTCCGCCGATTGAAGAGCACCGGGTGCCGCCTTCACTCACTGAATTGGATCCTTCCGCGGCTCCCTCTGATGACAGAGCACGTCGACGTTACGCAAGTACGCGGCATAACGCCCCCACGCTCCTCCTCCACCCTCCATACAGAAGTGGATTCCCGGCGGCGGCTCTTTGCTCATAATTTGCAAGTCAAGTGCAAAGCAGTATTATGCACTTGACTTGCACTTTAAATACAGAACTCGGCCGGCCTGCGAGCTGTGTTGGCCGCCCGGCGCCCCTGTTGCCATGGCGCCCTGTGCGGCCGCACAGCTCGCACACCCCTAAGGCCGGACCTGCACAGAACCCCCCCAACACACTGCACCACACACATACACAATACTTCCAAATATATATATATATATATATATATATACACACACACACACACACACACACACTACACTCTTAAAGGACCACTCTAGCCACCCAGACCACTTCAGCTTAATGAAGTGGTCTTGGTGCCAGGTCCTTCTAGGGTTAACCCATTGTTTTATAATCATAGCAGTTTCAGAGAAACTGCTATGTTTATCAATGGGTTAAGCCTTCCCCCAAAGCCTCTAGCAGCTGTCTCATTGACAGCCGCTAGAGGCGCTTGCGTGCTTTTCACTGTGAAAATCACAGTGAGAGCACGCAAGCGTCCATAGGAAAGCATTATAAATGCTTTCCTATGCGACCGGCTGAATGCGCGCGCAGCTCTTGCCGCACGTGCGCATTCAGCCGACGGGCGGATCGGAGGAGAGCTCCCCGCCCGGCGCTGGAAAAAGGTAAGTTTTAACCCCTTTCCAGAGCCGGGCGGGAGGGGGTCCCTGAGCCACATATGCATCACATTACACCACAAACACAACACGACTAAAACCGACCTTATTACACAATACCACACCGCGACCAGCTCACTCTACACACACGCAATACTACAAGCAGGCTCCAAACACATGCACAATACTCTTTCCTGGCCTTTTGTCTCCTGGTATCCATTTATAGAGACACCAGAGACAAGTTGCAAGGAAAGACAGTGCAAGCATGTTATTAAATTTGCTTGCACTGTGCAGAACAAATACAGGACTTTTTTCTCATGCTAGAGCTCTTCAGCAGAGCTTTGCGCATGGTCTGCCCTGGAAGAGCATTGAACCAACATGCTCACTTTGAGAGGAGGCGTGTTTGTCATTGGTGATGACAAAACACACCTCCTCTGCCCCGCCCCCTTTCTAGTGGGCCGCTGTGTTAAAAAAATGCCCGGGCCGAATTTTTCTCCCAGTCCGGCCCTGAATGTCACCATAGTTTTCTTTTTATACATATGAACAAATGTTAAATGAAAGGGAAAAAAATTACATTGCCTCTTCAACTGAAGTACATAAAATATACAAACAGTTCACCATTTTACACAACTTTTTTTTTAAACATGTGTATGAAAACATAAGGTCAATTTGAAAGGCTCTGTCAAACACAATTAGCCGTGTTTGATTTGGTCTTTAGCTAGTTGATTTTGTTAAGAGCATTTTCTATAGAATATTGATGGAAAATACTTGACAGTTACATAACAGGATATTTGCAAGTTTTAGAAGAAATGTAATGTTGCAGCTGCAGAAGGATGGAATGCGATGCACACAAGTGAAGACATCATTCTGTAAGAATTACATACAAATTGTATAATCTAGCACAAATGTATTCTGAATTCAAGAAAACAGTCAAATAAATAAAAAACAACAACATCAAGAAAACATCAAGGAAAGATGTTTATAGGTTGTAAATTAACAGGGTTATTCACTAGACACCCGATTCTGTCCATATGGGAAAATCTGGTAAAAATCTGGTTCCCAGAGTACCGAAATTAAAAGTAAACTATGCTAGGAATACAAAATTGTACCCTATAGTAATAGTACCCTATAGTGACCCCCTCGCTTGCATCTCCCTCTTCCCCCAGTGGAACAGAAAGAATTAAAAACCCTTCTGTCACTTGCCTGAACCAGCCCCGATGTCTCCTGGTGATGGATCAGACTCCACCTCTGCTCCTCCTCCCCCGACATTGGGGACCTAATGCGCATGCGCAGCATGCACCACAATCACATTTTTATGTTATTACACTATATGTATTGTATTATTATTTTATAGGGAACATGATCTTTTGTTTGGTTGTATAAGTATACTTTATAATAAGTTTTGCACACAATATTCATATATTTTTTATATTTTTATATTGAATTTTTATTTTGTATGTTATATTTGCTTTGCATATTGTTTTTCTATATGTTAAAATAGTGCAATGATCTATTATCTTTTGTCTGTATCGCAAATTGCAATAGTGAGATTGATACGTTATTTTTATTTACTATAAGTGGATGTCACATGGTAGCATTTAAATTGTTTTATGTATATTTTGCCTAACTTTCAGCAGTGGTGTTTAATGTTTTAACGTGGTGGATTGTATAACTTTCAAATTCTTATATTTAGCCTCCGTTAGGCACTATTAAATGGTGATGTAATGTAATAAAGCCTATAAAGTTTTCACACTGTTTTTTCACACCACGAGTCTCAAGTTGGACAGCTGTACTATAGAAACTAACCTTAGGCGTGAAGCCTAATGGAATATCACATTCCATATAGATTCAAGTGGGATTATATATGTATATATTGCTAGAGTTACTCTCCTTCCCCCTCTATATTCCGTTGTATATCTTGTACCATGATGAGAAATTGATTTTAGGAATGGAAGCATACACGCTGACAGAAACTAATAAAGGACAATACTATTATTTTCTTTTATTCTTAGTATAAATATATATTTAAAAACACTTTAATGTATTATTATTTATATTATAAGTATAACAACCTTTTATGATTCTCACTCATCTCTTTTTTTTTTATTCTTTTTTTTGTGGTGCAAATAATGAACAAACGCTCTGGTCATGCCACAACAGCGGTAGCAAGAGTTGTAATTCATACAGTATAACTGGTACATGGCATATACGATTACTGCACACATTTGTAATTAAAGTTAACAGGCTGGTCAAACGTGTCTGGAGTCCAGAGATCAACGTCTATCTTTACATGGTGAAGATTATAGAAGAATAAATGGCATTTCAGGCTTATCAAGCAGGAGTATGAGGATTTGTTTAGTAGAGAGCGAGCTAAACTTATGTCTATGTAGGCAGTGAGACTTGGTGATTAGGTCAACGGACCGACCACATGCTTTGAAGGGTCAGGTCAGATTGGGCTAATGCTCTATAGTGTTCTGAGGCTAGGCACCTTTATCAAAGGCATGTGCGGCTAAGTGCAGTTATCAGTGAGCTTAATAGTCTAAAGCTGTGCTAGCCTTTTGCTCATATACATATACATCTGGGTTGAGGGGAACAATAAAATAACATGGGGTATAAAGACAAGTCTGGCTAAAGCATAGAAAACAATTGAACAACTGTTGATTATCAGACACTAGTAGGGTGACTATACATACAGTTGTGCTCTGCTGACCAGGGTGGTAGCAGGGAGAGAGGCTACTGCAAGCCTTCACCCGATGCCACTAGTGCGCTGGAGCAGGTAGTTAAATCTTCAACCCGTCAGTCGGTCTCGCAAAACAATGTCCTCCATAGTTAGTATGCTCAGTCTTTGGTGCCTCTATTTTGGGAGATTTCACCCGACTCTGGTTTGCGGCAGGAACCCTTTGTGGTTGTGGGGTGTAGCGGTGTCCCCCTGCGCCTTCTTGTTGGTCCGTGGCAGCTGCTGGGCTGTGTGCTTACAGGCATGTTTCAGCTGTGGTGTCTCCGGTCCGGGCTGTAGTGATACTCTGCTGTTGGCTGGGTGTCTGAGGAGTAGTTGTAAGATTCTGCCCCTTGTGTCTGACGTGTCCGGTGCAGTAGCGGTGCAGTAGTGGAGTAATGGCTGCAGACCCTTAGGTCATTGCTGGTGGCGTGCTCGTTTTAGACCTTGGTAACACTTTTGGGTCGAGATGGGTCTGTGTGAGCCTCTCGTAGGTGGCAGTGCCGCCGTTGCTTGAGCTCTGCTTGTCCGCTTTTGGCGGTTGTTGCCCCTTTGTTGCACCTTCCACGTGGCGCAGGCTGGTCGTTCCGGCGGTGTTGTTGTTGGGTTCCCGTGCCTCGGCCGCATGTGAGGGGTTGTTGGTTGCCGCTCTGCTCTTGTGGCTAGTTTCGGTGCTGGAGGTAAGTTTGCATATGGCTTCGAACTTAGCTTGGAAGGCCGCTGCCCATTCCTCTGCTGACTGTTGCGGCGGGTTCATGGTTCTGCTGTCGGCCATCTTAACTTGGCCTCTTGGGGCCGTTTGGTTGGAGGTGCTGTGACGAGTGTCCCAGAGGTGGGTGTTGCTCATTAACTGGCGGACCGGGATGACCCCCACTGGTCCAGAAGGGGGGGGAACGAGGGCCCTTTTGCACAGTGGCATCTAGTTGTGGCGGGGGGAGAGTGGCCATCTCACATGCTTGTCCGAGCGGTGCCGGTCGTTTAGTTGCTGAAGGGGTACCATAATGCTCCTCTCAGTGTCCCCTTTCCTTTCCTGGCCTTTGTGGCCCGATTGGTCGCTGTTTGGTTCGTGAAAAGTGGTGTTTTATTTGTTTCGTTGCAGGAACTCTTGAGCTAGTCAACCACTCGGCTCTGCGGTCAGGCCCCGCCCTCACTCATCTCTTTATGAGTGAATTTGGATATATTATGGAAATATATTTCCTCCAGTCCTGCACTTTTTCAACCACTTTACCTAAATGTGATTTATTTCATATTGTGTACTATTTTCAATGCAATGGTTAAAAGCACTGTTTAAAATAGAGCCAATGAGCCATTAACAAAGACACTTGTACTTACTCAATTGGAATGATATATGATTATTTACAATCTAGTATTATTCCTAATCCATAGAGGAACGCATTCACAAACTAAATAGGGTGTTCCAATTAAATTTATTTATATAGTACCAACATATTGTCCAGCACGTACAATAGATTCTAAGCCATTTGGTGCTAACAAAGCATGTATGACAAACATGAATAAATGAAAATAAAATATTTATCCCCAGCATAAAGGTAAGAGTTTTCACAACAAATATGTTTATAAAGAACACCATTAAAACATACTGCTGGTACCCATTACTGCATTTTGTCAATCAAAAACGTAATCCTATTTTACTTTTTGAGTTCTCTATTTCTGCATAATTAAAAGAATGCTTCAAGCCTGCTGCAGTGGTTATGGTGCCAGAAGTGCAAATATGGTTTGACTACTTACCTGGTTCCTGCCAGGTGCTCTTGGCCACAACACCTGCTTCCAGTCCTATCTTGCAGCAGTGTACTGTTAGGTCTACAGAACTCAGCAGGGCTACATAGGACATCGCTGATTGGCTGAGAGAGGTCAGCTGGTGCAATTATCAGTTTAGTAAACAAATACCTAGGAATTATGGTGAATAAACACATAACAGCTTTTTGGTCCACTACAGATAATTTTTAAAAATAGTTATCATAAGTTTACTGTTTAGTGAATGAATGCCTTATAATTTACCATTTAGTGAATAAACGCCTTTTTTTTTTTATATATATATAATATAACCGCCACCCCTTTCCGGCTTAAAAGCAATACATAGATTTTCCACTTGTTTTCAATTCGAAAACACGCTCCTCCAAGAATTTCTGTGACATATGAGTCCGTTAGGAGAGCTTGTTTAGTTATTTTCTTGGACCTCAGGGTTTCACATTACTAACAAAAACTGGCAGACCTGCTCAATTACTCCTGATAAGTTCCAGTCAAGAACAATTTCAGGACACTCTAGAAAACATTGCCTGAAATAACAAAAATCTCAGACAAATTAAAGTGTAAATAAAGTTTGCAGAACATTTTACATATTATATTCAGAGAATTTAGTATCACTGTACTGCATGTACTTGGAATCGGAATTTGGCTTTCATGGCATCCCACCATCATAATCCCGAAGTAACACACGTTCGAGCATCAAAACAAAAACGAGGGTAATGTCATGTTTGGTTTAATAGTCTGGAATAGTTTGTGCATGGTGAGTACAGCAGTGGAAGCTGGCTATAAAACTTTATAGAGCTGTTTTTAATTTTAGAAATTTGTTGGATACTACGTTGAAAATATTATAATTGCATTCTTATTCATGAAAAATAACAGCAAATATTTTATTGAACTAAGTCAATAAGAATATATTAATTGACTTATTATACATTAAGAGAAATAATCAAAAGAGCTTCCAGGCAGCTAGTATGAAATAGCAATATTCTGTGCTCAACCAAACCTTGTTAAAATATTGTCAGGATCACGAATCACAGTTAATTGAAAACTTAAATTTCTTATCTTTTATTAATGAATTTGAAGATGACATTTAAAGTAACACTCTCACCCCCACAACCACACCAGATCATTGTTATGGGGACAGAGGGTCCAGGCACTGTGTAACATGGGTTATACCATTATCATCATGGGTTATACCATTTTGCAACAGTTGAACCTCAATGTTGGTCCTCCAGCACCCAACACAGTTACCCCCTCAGCTTCATTCCTCTCTGCTTCCATAGCATTAGGAGGGATTAGCCAGGC